TATACCTACCTTATACAATACCTTCTACTCTACCTATGCCCCGGGATCCTAACTGGAAGCGAAGCCCCGGTAACTTTTGCACATTGAATGCACTTGAGCCTCGGGAGTCGCCGCGAGTCCGCCACTGCTAAAATCAGCACACATCAGTCAGTCACTCATGAGCGAGCACCCGACGCCCGTTCCTGGACACTGCGTCCACCGCCCACTGCCCACTATCTACTTTATATAGTGCATACTCCGCAGAGAAGAGAAGAAAAAGAACCTCAAAACATCCCCAAAACACTCCAAAAACACACACTAAATATGGAAAAAATAACTTTTAAAATTAATAAAATAAAATAAAAAGGGCCCGGCAAAACACAGGCAACAAGAAAACAACAAAAAGCCCGGGAAAAATCAGCCAAACAGCAAAAAGACAAGAAAAAAATCACGGGGAAAAATCACCCGGAAAAAGAAAAAGAAAAAAAGAAACCCGCGGAAAAAAACCACCCCCTCCGACCCCAAGGGTTGCTGGTCATGGGCTCGTCCTCGTCGATGTTTCCTCTGAGGTCCATTGCTTCCCTCGTCTTGTCGATGCGCTTCGGTTTCGTCGTCTCGTCTCGCCTCGTCAAGCGTAAGGAACGTTACCAAGTAACGAGGTACGCTTGTTTTGATTGAGGTGTTGCTACCAAATGTAGAGAGGTGTTGGTAGTAGTAGGTGGGGAAAGGTTGGTTGATTGGGAAGAGAAGGTCGAGGACCCGAAGTCTATCTACCCCCGTACATCTGTCGTCACTCGGACCTATCTACAACCCTACACCAGGCCACCTCCCACGCTCAGTACCCCGCCCCCATCCTCCTCTCCTCCATCTCGGCGTCCAGCATCGTCGCCGACCCTTGGCCGTACCAAAAGGGTACTGTCGTGTGAAACGGGTTTGCACCCGTATTCAAGGCCTCCCAAAAGGTGCCCTTCTTCTTGGCCGTACCCTTCTTCGCAAAGAGGGCGGTCGATAACTCGGTGTTGGTATATGCGGATACACCGTGCCGGTCCCATGCATATGAGCGCTCGAGGATCTGGTCTAGAATCTCCTGGCAGCTTCCGGCACTTTCACTTGAGTTGAGACTTGTTCGAAAAGCAAGCCACACATCACCCGTCGGGAGTCCTTGGACCATGTAGGATGCCAGAACTTTCTCTGGCAGCTCGGTGCCCACGTTGCGCAACTCTGTAGCTATCTCCAGAATTCGAGAGTGATAAGCAGCCGCGCTGTCGAAGTCGGCCCTGCGGATGGCGTTCAGCTTGTAGAGACCAACGTTCGCGTCGATCTTGGCCACCCGGTTGAAGTCCTTCTCGATGTCCGTCCAGAGAACGTCTGGTGCCGAGATGTACTTCTTGTCTGCATACCGCATTCGCACAGAGGGGTCCAGGGAACGTTGAATCTTCGCTGTGGCCATGCCGACCTTACAAAGGCCCTACGGGCCGCAACACCCCGAGGGAGGCAAACGTCTCTAACGGGTAGAGATGGAACACGTGCAGCCCCAATATATCTGCATCGCCTCCAGCGCCGTGGGGGTGCGGTGCGTGCAGCAGGTCGGGACCTGGGCATACGCCATGGGCATTGGGGACTGCCGGGGCAGCGTGCGGAGGCACAGCGGCCTGAGTGGAGGGGCCAGACTGAGTCTGGCCGGAGGAGGTAGACGGAGTCTGACCGAAGGGAGTAGGCTGAGTGGCCGGAGGAAGTTGACGTAGTCTGGCCGATGGAAGTAGGCTGAGTCTGGAGCTGAGGAAGCAGACTGAGCTGGAGCGGAGGAAGCAGACTGAGCCGGAGTGGTCGAAGCAGACTGAGCCGGAGCGGAGGAAGTAGACTGAGCCGGATCGGTCGAAGCAGACTGAGCTGGAGCGGAGGAAGCAGCAAACATCTGTTGTCCGTCCATCTTGGTCGATGAAGAGCTGGTCAATTTTGTAGAAACGTTAGCGAGATCGAGCAGAGAAGACAAACCCGAGAGTCGTGGGAATGGTTCTGAGATTGTGCAAAGAAGGCAGCAGGAGATTTGTGGAACCAAGGTGGTGTGTGATGTGGAAAGGGGAAGAAGCGTTCTGGCGGCAATTCTCGCGGGTTTTATGGGTGAGGTTGGCCACTAGCCGTTTCCCTAATTTTGGTTTGTTTGACGCTCACAGCCAATTCTGCTAGATCACTCGGTCGTCGTTGCTATTGACGCTGGAATTCACTATCAGATCGTTGCTTATCATATCACTAATCTACCCCGCCCCATCATCAATCCACCGCCTAGATCGATACTATCGGCGGCGAAAAAGCCATCAGAGAACCATTTTTACGTGGGGATCGCAGTAACTACACCGGTACCGTAGCAAACATGATTGCCACCTACTAGTATATCCCACCGCATCCCACCGCGTCCGTAGTAGTTTTGTTTTTGTTTAATCATCATTGCATTCGACCTTAGGTTCTTAGTTGGTGGATCATGGCATATTACATACCTCATATCCTTTTCCACCCAACTGTCGCCTCACCGACCAGCTCGATACCTATTGGTTGCCTATCACTCTTCACCCAGCCCAGCTCAGCCCTCCCCAACCGCGTCCGTATGTAGTCCATCTCCGGCGCAGACAGAGCGTGCATACCCACCGCAGGATCCAAAGATCCAAAGATTCCGTTGCGTGCGTGCGTTTGGGCCGCAGGCGAGTGCGAATCTATGCAGCAACCACCTTCCCGCGCCCCCCCCCCCCGCGACGAGCTGGCGGCCGCCGATATGTACGATAAACCCAGCCAGCAGGCTACCTCAAGCGGCGGCGGCGGTAGTTACCTTACCTAGCGGTAGCCAGTCGCTTTGACCAGCGCTGCCCAGCCCAGTGCAGTTCGAAGCCGGCTGCCGGCGAGACGACCGACCGACCGACCCGCGCCCCCGAGCCCCCGACCCGCGCCCCAGCATGTTCCCTGCACATCGCAAGAATCCACAGCCCCGCCCTATGTATCCCTGCCGGCTACCGTACATAGCATACCCTCCCGCTCATGGTCAGTTGGGTTCGGCCGAGATTCCGAGCTGCGGGGTACTGACGGGACGGTGGGTACGGTACCGTGGGTCCCCCCTCACCACCACCCCACCCACCCTCGGGACGCTATGCGGTACGGTAGCGGGGTTCAAGGCTGCGTATCTACCTTGCCCAAACGTCGACTATGTACGGTAGAGTAGAGTAGAGTAGAGTAAACCCATGGCCCGGCCCCATCGGAAGACTGCGCCTGTATGTACTGACACGGTCGGTCGGGAGCATGGTCTGCACCGTGAACTCTGCACCGTAGACCACGGACCGTGGACGAAACGTTGGCAATGACAAGCATGCATGTGTACCGCTTTGGGGGATGCGTATATGTACTATAGCCGCACGGATCGGAGGATCTGCGTCAAGTGCGTGGGTGGGTAGGTGGGGGTTGCCATGTCGCTGGGATGGAATACTCTACTGAACGTTATGTATGGGGGTATGGGAGTATGGGGGCGGAGGTGGAACCCCGGGTCGAGGATGAGCGCTGTCATGGGAGGGAGGGGGGAGGTGTGGAAAGATCCACGGTGGATGGTGGTGGTAGGGACTGGGGAGGAGGTTTATTAGGCGTTGGTAAGGAATTGAGACGTCTCGAGAGTCGAGACAGTGGTTGGTAAGGTAGGTATCACTCGATGTGTCGGGATCGAGGGCTGGGTTTTCTGGATTCTCTGGGATCGGGGGTGAGGCCGAATGAACGGTGGCAGGAAACCGAGACGTCTCGAGACTGTGGCTGGTACGGTAGGTATCACTCGATGTATCGGGGATCCCAAGCTAGAATCTCCAGGAACGAGGGTGAGGGAGATTCCATTCTGGTCGCTCGCGAAGGGGAATCCCGCTTGAGGAAGTATCACATCACGAAAGGAATGAAGGATGCAGCAATGGGAGAGAAGGCTGCACTTGTCGCCCGGTGTGGCGGAGCGAGAGGAGGACCTATGTGCGGGAGAAAACGAATGTGGTTAGTACTATAGTGGGCATCAACGTTGGTGGGAATCAATGTTGGTGGCGGGGTTCTTCTTCTTCTTCTTCTTTCTGGATCATCATCTACGGAATACCTAGACGATCAACCTCCATATCTCCTCTTTCTTCTGTGTGTGTGTGTATGCTCTCCTCTCGATCTCGCCTCCGGCCCGGAGCTGGAGGGGTGTTGGCAAAAGAGCCGTCTACAAAACCGGATTCCAATTACAAAGTGGCAGGAGACCCGGGACTGACCACCGATATCACTCGACTCAACTCGACTAGTCACCACCGAGAACTCAACTCAACTCACGCCGGGAGAAACGACTGGACTCGAGGGTGCCGCATCTGGACACTGAGGAATGAATGGTCATATCTATTTGAGTATGTAGGACGGCTGTACATAGTAGGAAGCGACTACCTAATCGAATACCTGACAATATGAAGCCGACCATTGAAACCACTCGACCGATCACTGCCTCGAACCGGCGCCGACGGAAAGCACAGGGCTCCACACAAGACTCGTCACTCATGAATGAAGGCGGCTGTTTGGCGGACGAAACAAGATCCTTAACGAGAGTACCCGTACCGTACCGTACGGAAGGCTGTAGCAGCAGCAGGAGGAGGACACCAATCCCAATCGACGCTCTCGTGTGTGTGTGTGCAAAAGGCAATCGTTCGTCGGGGCATGGTACGTACCATGTAGTCCCGGCCTGCTCGACTTTCCCTCGCTCTCGCTCGCTCGAAAACCACCGGGTTTGACCTGGGCCCCGAGTCAACACAACAGGGCTCAAGGCTGAAGAAGATCTGCTCGGGCCGGGGCGTGAAACGGAGGATTCAGGAAGCATGATGGATGGGATCTGACTTCTCACGTTCGGAAGGCTGTACAATATAGTACATGAGAGCAGGCCACGAACGGCCGGACTACATACCGGTAGGAGCCTGGGTTCGGGCAGGGCCAGGAGCAGGAGCCGATGCGATGCGCGAACCACGGGGCATTGGGCAAACCCTTGGGACCTGACACCAACAGGCAACAGGCAACAGGACCACCCCCCCGCGGCGGATGATGTGAAGGAAACCGGATTCGCGGCCGGCGAGGAGGGAAGAACCTTGCTATGTACCTATCTGCTACCTATCTGCTATCTGTGATGGGCCGGCGAATGTTGGAGTGAGATCCCTATGCGGGGTCATGGACTCGTGCCAATCGATAATCTACAAGAAGTTGCTCTGGCGGGAGAGAGAGAGAGAGAACAGCAATTAACTGTCGCATACGGCCTTACTAGACTACCTATGACGACCACCAACTTCCCGACCTTTCCTGCTAGTTGTTCCGGCGGGAGGGAGAGAGAGATCTTCAAATTGTTCCCGCGGGTAGGTAGAGGGGAGCGTCACTCGTCCATGAGAACGAGTGATAACCACCTCGACCTATCTCGGAAAGGGAAGGGAAGGGAAGCACAAGCCCATCCGTCCGCCTCCCCCTCCCCCATCGCATCCCACATATGCCCGCACATACATACATACATATGCTCCATTCGTTCAGCACCAGTCCACAGTCCAGTCCAGCCCTTACGTTGGAATCCAATCCAGCTCACCGGTACGGCGGTACATACATACGTCCCGCCATTCCAACCTCCAAGTTCCAACCAACCTACTTTGCCTAGAAGCCGGCGGCGCCCCTTGCTCCGGCGGCCGGGAGTGCTCGCGTGGAGTGGAGTCGGATGAATCGAAGGGGGAAGGGTTCCGGAGCGTTTCATCTGGTCTGGCTGGCGACATTAAGTCGGCGACGTCGGATATGTATTGTGGAGTACGAACCGAGGAGTTCGTCGTACGGGTTAGTTATCCATCACTCGTTGAGTCGTTGCCGGTTGCGGCGCGCCGGCGCTTGTCGATCGACGTCTGTCTGTCGTTGTGAATAAAAGCGGATGGATAGATGGACGGATGGATGACTGGTACGGTACCTATTGGAGGCAATTGCAATCGATGGGGGACTGGGGACTTCGCCAGGCCACTCCGACTCAGTGTCCGAGAACAGTTTTCCTGGCAACTGCTGACCGGAGCCATAACTATTGGACAAATGGAGGCTCGACCTGCAACTGCAATCGGCGGGGGAATGGGGGCTTCGCCAGACCACACTCAGTGTGCTCGGGTACACTTTTCCTGGCAACTTCCGGGGCCATCATACTCGGCATATGCATGGAAGTATGAAAGAAGGGAAGTCAAAAGCTCCGATCAACGACGTTGGGACTCTAACTAGAGTAGATATGTCGCTGACCCCAGTTGCTGGGCTCGGTCTCGGGCTCGGGCTCGGGCTACATACTCTACATACCTACTCTGCATACATGTGAGTACCGTACAGACGCACCTCAGTTGCTGGACGCACAGCTGACTACATACTAGATATCTACCAAAGACAGACAGAGCACCGAATGTCCAGCGTGCATCTTTGGGGTCCGGACGGTGATGGCTACTGTGATGGAGCCATGTGTCTTGCATCATGCACCATCCATCAGCACCCACCCCAGGTCCTCAGGGCCCAGGGCTCACAGAAGCCCGGTCGCTGGGCTGGGCTGGAAAGTACCAACTATATACGCCCGGCAACCTCCACGACCGAACGGCCGGTCAGCTCAGCTCAGCGAATCAGACCCGGATTCGGATTCGGATTTGCTCGATTCCGTAGCGGCCGCGGAGGATTGACTGCGAATAGTGTCCAGGGATTCCGCCGTCGGACAGACCCTCTCGACCCGAGATATTCTTCTTGTTCTGCTGCCTCTTCTTCTTCGGCTTCGTGGGATCTGGTTGGAGTATGGAGGTTAGGTATAGTACGGTTTATGTAGGTATTCCAGACATCTACATACATAGAGTAGAGTACCTACCCACTCCATGCGTGTGCGGTATGTCTGGTACTCTATGGTACTTGGGTCGGTGTGTAGATGTACCTACTCTGTGTGTGTGAACACTCCAAGCTGACGGGATACCTAACTCACCATCGATAGTAGTTGTCCGCTGGCAGCATATGTATCTGCTCCAAGTACATATGTACGTTCAACGGTTTTTTCTTTCCAGTTATCCTACCTACATGTGAGCAATGAGCATGGTAGTTATGCTACGTTCCTCCACTCCGCCTCCCCTTCCAAGTTCCGTTCCGTTCGCGGGCCTAGATACCTGCCAATCATCTGTAACCTATCATATACCCGGTGTGACAGTATCACCAAGTAAGTACCCCTCCCCTCCCCTTCCGTGTCCCTCTTCCTGCACAACACTCAACATGAAACGGATTAAACGGATTAAACGGATTAAAATGGCCTTCCAGAATTCAAAGCCCGGCGACGACGACGACCAAGCACAAGCACGAGCACAAGACCAAGCACAAGCGGTCAACTCAAGCACAAGCGGTCAATTCAAGCCAAGCGGTTGAATTAAGCGGCTCGACTGGACTCGACTGGATGTGTCTCTCTGTTGCCGGTCGAGCAGGACAGAAAGCGGAGGAATAACACCCCACGGCCCCCAATTAGGTGACTGACCAGGTGACTGGCCGTTGGCATGAATTGCTTCTGCAGACTCCGACGACGGCGAAGACGACTCCGACGACGGCCCAATGCCATTGGGCGGATGAGAGACGTGATTAGCTGGAATGCGTGGGCAGAATCACCGAGTCGGTCGGTTGGTCGTCCAAAGGGTTTTCACATGCGCGTCCTCTTCAACTGGGGAGCAATCCAGTAGGTGTCTGACCGTTGACGCTCGCATAGGCACGTACTCTATGTACTCTATGTACTCTATGTACTCTATGTACTCTATGTACTCTATGTACTCTATGTACTCTATGTAGCATGACATTCTGGATGACTACAGCATCGCCGCACACTCGCGTTTTCTCAAGTACCGGTATGTATCATACCGGCCATGCTATATATCCCTCCCTTGCCCGCCGCCTCCGTATTCGTCTCCGCCCGCCCGCTCGCCCCCCTGGCCCCTCCCCCGGCCCCCAAGAAAACCGTCGGCAGGGAGCCGGCGGGGCGTGGCGTGGCTGTGAGACAAGCAAGCAAGGAAACTTCCGAACCCAACAAACACCGGGTGGGGTGACTTGAAGGGCGAGCCGGGATGTTCGGATGTGATGAACAATCAACTTTCTCTCTCTGGAATCTGGATCTGGAATCTGGCAATGAGGATCTGGCAATGAGGATCGTGCTGCGCGACCATTACTATGATATGTAGTGGTCAGTCTTCTAGATGAATATGGTGCAGTGACTGATTGTGTCGGACGCAGTGCGCACTGCAACACGAGGACAAATGGCCTAGTTACTCATGTAGGTACCGACTGAGCGAAGGGGCACCAGATGGCTGGCCTGATCTGCGGGTGAGAGGCGGCGAGAAAGAGGCGGAGAATTCTTGCTGGTGGACAGGAGGATTTGTATGTAGAGTACCGTAACCTAGCCCTTCGAGAATGGGCTCGGAACGAATGGCGACCTGCAGGGGGTCGGTCACTGGGGTGGCATTGACAGGCAGGACTGAGGAAACAGAGCTCCGTCACCGTCACCGTCAGCGGCAGTGGAACCGTCAGCGGTATCGTCATCGTCGTCTTGGTATGGTATATACCGTATGTAGGGGCGCTCGAGAACAGAAAAGGAAAAGGAAAAGAAAAGAAAAAGAAGAGAGGCCCTGCAGAGTTGCAGGCGCAGAGTTGCAACGAATCACAGAATCACAGAATTATTATCTGTTAATTATCGCGAATTTGATCCTGATCGGGCCTATATGCGACAAGGGAGAATTGGCGGCTCCGGGGGGAGGGGGGTCGCGAGCTGGCATTTGTGTTTTCAGACTTTTGCCGGATTTCCCCTTTCCGCACCGCACACCCCCCCCAATTCCCGCGTCTTTCTTTCTGCAGCAACGAAGCACACACACAGACACTCGGACACTCAGACACACTCGGACACTCAGACACACTCGGACACTCAGACACACCACCACTGCTGCCGCTGCTCCGTTCACACACACACACACACGGCGCGCACAGACGTCTTTCGCACCATCACCCGGACCGATCCACCATCCCCCTTTCCCTTCCCTCCCCCCTCCCTCCTCGCTCTCTGCGCGAACGGCCGCCAACTTTTGTCCTACTACTACTACTACTTGCTACTACTACTCTACTAGGTCTCAGCAAATCGAAACTCAGCATCGGACGCCCGCCCTTGCTTGACGGACGGTTACAGACCAAACCGGCCTACCCCATCCATCCCCATCCCCCCTCCCACCTCCACCCCCCTCCCTCCCATCCCAGCCAAAAAGTCACTGCCCACCGTACACGGCCGCCCACCCGCCAGTCGGTCTGGGCTCACTGTTCCTGGCGGAGAAGTCGGCCGGAGAAGAAGACCACGCTCGCAGAGCTTCCGCCGCTGCCCGCTACTGCTACCAACTACTACTACGTATCGTCTGTGTGTGTGTGTGTGTGTGTGAACGGTGTGTGTGTGAGGGTGTGTGAGGGTGTGTGAGAGGGTGTGAAGGGTGTATCAACGGTGTGTGGTGTGTGTGGTGTGTGTGCTTTGGCTCTCACGCGGACAGACGGACAGACGGACGGACTCATGTCGTCTACAGCAGCTGCTGCTGCGGCTGCTGGTGTTGCGGCTGGTGCTGCTGGGGCTGGCTCGGCGACGGCGATGGCGGCGGCGGCGGATTCTAGGTGTGTGTGATTCTGTGGTTTTGGTCATAAAGTGGTTGTTTGGTTCCGGTATCTCCTGAAGTTCCTACCTATCCGTCGTCCGTACTCTACCACTCTTGAGAAGTACCTGCTCTACTACTATACCTGCTATACCTACTCTACCTACATAAGTTCTTGTGTTGTTGCAAACTTGTACGCGGCCGAGGGCGAATGAGATTGGCTTCATCGGTATTCTTGTATCCTGCAGCTGTCATCTCTCCCCCTCCACCCCCCCCCTCCCGTCTCCCCCCCCCCCCCCCCACCCTCCATTCCTTTTGGTTCATATATCCTTTTTGTTCGGTTCATCAATCCTCATACGATACCTATCCCATATCCTGCTTTGCCCGCTCGGTATCGTCCGCAAGAGTGCCCGCTCCCGCCCCACCCCCATCCCCCATTCCTCCCCCCCACCCGCCGCCGCAGCAGCAGAAGCTACTAGCCCTGGCATATCCTTGATTCGAGCTGTGTGGCTCCCTACCACTCGCGGGAATAACTGGCAACTTCATCACCAATCATGAAGCCACCCGTGAGCGATAGCAGCCCACAGCCGGGATCGGATTCCCCACACACTACTGCGAGCGGCTGCCGCCAACTCCCAAGCTCCTTGATCGCCGGCGGCGGCGGTGGCGGTGGTGGTGTTGGTACCGGTGGTGGTGGTGGTGGTGGTGGTGGTGGTGGTTGGTGGTGGTGTCGGTACCGGTGGTGGTGGTTGTGGTAGTGGTGGTGCTGCCGCTGCCGCTGCTGCTGGTGCCTGGAAGCTTTCTCTCCCTGCTCTCACAACCACTGCCATGTCTGCAATGTCAGACAAGTCTCGACCAGGGACTGCGAGTGCGAATCGTGATGCTACAGCATCCCCTCTGTCCGCGTCTCCTTCACCGTCCCCAATGTCGTCCCTCGCGAATGCACTTGCGATGAAGAAGCGTCTGTCCGACTCGATCACTGACAGTTGGAGCAGAAGGCGCCCGTCCTTACCGCAGGGTGCAACTCCGCCGACGATACTACCGGGTTCCTCTCGCTACAGCAAGGACGCTTCCAGTAATAGCAATGGGAGCTCCGTCGCCTCGAAATCGCGAAGCCGAGCGTCATCGGCGGCTACCCCTACAGCCGGCACTTACGCGCGAAGTCCCCCGTCGTTGAACTCGTCGCCGTCGCTGGCAACCATCGCGTCGGTGGCCAGCTCCAGCAGCGGTTCCAGCTACCGTGTGGCGGCCTGTCCCGAAGGGATTCGTATGATATCATGAGGGGCTACTCGCAACCCTCGCTAGCCAGCATACCGAGTCGCGGCGCGACGCCAGGAGAGGATTCGCCAACAATACCACGTGCTTTGGATCCTGTGCGGAACGTCTCGAGCCGGCCCATTGCTAACTTGGCCGACATACGGCAGGCGGAGGAAGATGGCTCTCTAGATTACCAGGGCGGCTTCTGGGAGGTGGCTGAGAACGTCGATCCTACCGTTCAGGCGGCTGCGGATGTCGGGATGAGGCGGGTGGGCCTGACGCGGAAAATCTCGGATTCCAGGAGGATAATGACGCCGGTGTTGGACAATCAGGATGAGGGAGGCGGGAGTGCTGCCGAATTGGAGGAGGGGGACGACCACGACGAGAGCACAGTGTTAGTGGCTACACCAAGGAACCGGGGATCGACACAGTCTGGCGCCCAATCGTCGACGTACGACATGTCGTCGGACGAGGAATCCACTTCGTCTTCGGTGGGAACGAAATCGACAATCGGTTCGACGCGGACGGGAGCTTCGTTCACGAACGCAAAAACAAGATCGTCAAGGGGCTCGGGATATCCGCATCTGGAATTGCAGACTACTTTTACGCGGCCGTCTACGGCCAACTCCATGGCGGTCGATCGGCAGGTATCCGCGTTGATGCGGCCTTCGAGCTCGACGGGGTATCTGTCGAGGACAATGAATGCTTCGCCGATGAAATCCGGCACACCTTCGGGCAAGGTGAGGTTGCTACCTGGGCTAGAGATCCCGGGATTGGAGGAGTCGGGTTCGCGCCTGTCATCTCTCGCGGGCAGATCCTCGTCGTCAACTTCATCGAGCCAGCATACATCTGCGGCGAGCAGTAGAGCACCCTCAACGAACATCAGCTCGGTGATCCGTTCGGACAGCAATTCGTCCACAACTAGCACTTCGACAAGTACGCAAACGGCAAGGACCAATACCCCATCCGCTCAGAGAAAGTTGGTTTCGTCGCGTGACCGGAATGCCATCCCAAGAGCGCCTGCTGCAGCGGCTTCGACTCTCAAGAGCAAATCCCGACACCCGCCCAGCCTCGAGCCGCCGATTCCGGACCCCGCCAGTGCGCCCAAAGTTGACCCTGCTCCAGCGAGCGGGATGTATTGGTATAAGGCGCCGACGCATGGCCTGGAACATAAACCGTTGCGCGCGCACACGTGTACGCTCGTAGGGAGTAATATCTATGTGTTTGGCGGGTGTGATCTGACCACGTGCTTCCATGACATGCACGTCTTCGACGCGGACTCCATGTCGTGGTCGAAACCCGAAGTGTGCGGCGACATACCGCCGCGGCTGCGCGCGATGACGTGTACCGCGGTCCGCAACAAGCTCGTCATATTTGGCGGCGGCGACGGCCCCATCTACTACAACGACATCTACGTCTTTGACACCACGACGTCACGATATACCAAGATCGAACTGGGCAAGGACGACGTCATGCCGTGTCCTCGCCGCGCCCACACCGCCTGCCTCTACAAGAACGGCATCTATGTGTTCGGCGGCGGAGACGGCGTCCGCGCGCTCAACGACGTGTGGCGCCTCGACGTCACCGACATCGGCAAGCCCAGCTGGCGCCAGGTCTCGCCCGCGCAGTCGACCACCCCTCCCTCCCACGACGGGAGCTCCTCGGTAGCGCCGGACCCCGTCCGCCCCAAGGCCCGCGGCTACCACACCGCAAACATGGTCGGCAGCAAGCTGATCATCTATGGCGGCTCCGATGGCGAGGAGTGCTTCAAGGACGTGTGGGTCTTTGATGTCGAGAAACTGCTGTGGAGCTGTGTGGAAATCAAGAAGAGCTTTTCGAGACTGAGCCACTCTGCGACCGTCATTGGGAGCTACCTGTTTGTTGTCGGGGGACACGATGGCGTCGAGTACTCGCATGAGGTGCTGCTGTTGAATCTGGGTATGTTCCTGTCGGGTCGGGTTGGGTTGGATTGGTTTGGATTGGATACTGACCGTGTGGTGCAGTAACGATGCAGTGGGATCGCCGCAGAGTCTACGGCATGCCGCCGAGCGGCCGGGGGTATCATTGCGCGGTTCCGTACGACTCAAGACTCTTCATCATTGGCGGCTTCGACGGGTACTTGTCCCCCCCCCTCCTCATAATGCACGGGAATACTAATAGATCCAGACACCGAGTCTTCAATGACACGTACATCCTCGAGCTCGCCGTCAGCAGCTACTACAGCCAGATCTCGCACTTTAGCGTGGTGGTTAGTCCTACTTGACCAGCGTTTTCCACCTTCTTCACCGACATCGACACCGCCACCGCCACCCCCATCGCTACACACTCACGATATCCACGAACTCACTTCAACTACTCATTGTATTCACTAGTCGGCGTGGGGGTTTCCATTCCATTTCTCATTTTTCTTAGTCCATAACTAGATCCGAAGCGCTCCTGGAGTCAAAAGTTCCCCTCTTCTCTCTTCCTCTTTTCTACTTTATTTGGGCTGGTTTGGTTAAGGGAGTGGTCTGTTTTTTGTTTTTGTTTACTTTGCCTTTTTGCCTTGCTTATGTTTCTTGGGCGTTTGCTGTTGCTGTTTGCTGTTTGCTGTGAGGGATACTGATACTTTATTGGGAGGGGGGGGTGCTGGCACTGGGAGGAGGAGGAGGAGGAGCGATGTTGGGGACTTGCTTATATTTGCTGAGGGTTGGAGACGAGGAGGGTTCTATTCTATTCTATTCTGATGTAGTGCTGGTGCTTAAACGTTATTAACCTTTTACTGAGATCTTACTCTTCCATTCAATTTCTATTCGGCTGGTTTATATGGTGGTGGTATCATGGTCGGTGTAGAAATGGGGTGTGAATGGGGTGGGATGGGATAGGATGGGATGGGAGAATGGGGTGGGAGAATGGAATAGATTTGACTTGACTTGACTTGATGTGACTTGACGTGACTTTACTTGACTTGACCAGTGTTCGACATAGGTAGTCCGGTCGGGACTACAGTCCGGACTCCGGACTGGACGGTCTGCCAAGATCTGTCGGACGGACTGCCGAATAGTAGTCCGTCCCGTCCATGGATTCCAAGGACTGGAGGGGACTGCAGTCGGTCCTGACCTCTAAACATTTTGGACTACATATGTAGTCCGTCCGAACACCGCTCCCGGACGGACGGCTGCCGAGATAGGTACAGTCCGGTCCGAGATACAGTCCGGTCCGAGATACAGTCCGGTCCGAGATACAGTCCGGTCCGAGATACAGTCCGGTCCGAGATACAGTCCGGTCCGAGATACAGTCCGGTCCGAGATACAGTCCGGTCCGAGATACAGTCCGGTCCGAGATACAGTCCGGTCCGAGATACAGTCCGGTCCGAGATACAGTCCGGTCCGAGATACAGTCCGGTCCGAGATACAGTCCGGTCCGAGATACAGTCCGGTCCGAGATACAGTCCGGTCCGAGATACAGTCCGGTCCAGTCAAAGGCCCAGGACGGATGGACTGGACTAGGTATGTAGAACACTGGTTCAGTTCTGATAGTCCAGTTCTCATTGTCTAGTTCTCACAGAGTAAAGTACAGTCTAGTTCTCACAATCCTGTCCAGTCCGGTTCTCATAGTATGGTTCTTGTATAGTAGATACGGTTCTGATACAGTACGGTTCTCACATGTACCATACAATCCCGTTCTCTCCCCGTTCCCCCCGTTCCCTCCAGCCCATCCAGCCCGTCTATCTAGGTATCTAGTACCCGTGCTCTCCAAGCCACTTCTCAACCTCGCGCGCATCCCTCTCGACATACGCCGCATTCCCCCTAATATTATCCTTCACGACGCCCAAGCCCTTATCATATCCAGTATTATCCTTCTTTCTAAAGAACTCCTCGATCTCGCTTAACCTCTCGGTTCGCAAACTTATTCAGCGAGTTCTTCAGAAACCTGTCCAGGACGACCATATTCCCGCTGAGCTGCTTATACACCTCGTCCCAGTTCTCTTGTATGAACCGCCACAGCGCCCCGCGCGCCTCAGAGTTGTTCGACAGCGCGATCGCGGGCGTGTGCTTGTCCTGCACCTTGACTTTGTCCGACAGCGTGAACTCGAGGACTTGGCGGATCAGCGCCGGTTCCCGCACGCGCCCGAGGGAGGAGAGACAGATCTCCTGTCCGTCGATGGCCGCAGTGCGCGCGTACTCCGCCAGCACTGCAGTGACGGCGACGGCGCCGCCGGTGCCCACCGCGGTCCGGAAGATTGCGAGGCGAAGGGACGGGTGCACCAAGGATGTGTCGCCCGAGGTGTAGGCGGCGAAGCGCCGCTGCGCTTCGGCTATGACGGCGGCGTGTCCGCATGTGCCCGCCGTGGAGAGGAGCAGGGCCCGCAGGCGCCCCGTCAGGAAGTCCTCGCCTGCGCTGAACTCCCAGCCCAGTTTGGCGACGGTCGGAGAGATCAGCGATAGGGTGAATTGTGTGAGGCCGTCGCGGATACGGGGGGAGGACTCGGCGAATAGGCTGCGTAGCTTGTTGAGCTGTGAGAGGATCTCGGACCACACTTGGTAGGACTGCTCGTCCGACAAAGCGTGCAGGAAGCTGAGTAGCCCTGCGGTGCTGCCCGCGCCGGAGAAGGCCATTGCTGCGGCGTCGGCGATGAGCCCAACGCGGTCGGAGACGGAGAGCGTGTGCCGGTCCGCGCCGAGCTGGGTCAGCCGCGAGGAGGGGTAGTTGACGCGGTAGAAGCCGTTCTGGCCGTGGTTGAGCTTGTAGTGCGATGTGTTGAGGTTCTTGATGGTGGATTCTTTGGCTGTGAGCGCGGCTACCTTTTCGGCCGAAGAGGTGTACGCTTCATCGTTCAGGAAGAGCGGGATCCACCAGGTGGTGCTGTCTTCCTCCGGCTTGACGTCGCCGGTGCTCAGGAACCGGCTCTGCTTGACCGTGATCTGTCCGGGCGCTTCGGTCACGGTGAGCACGGGGAATCCAATCGTCTTGATCCAGTTGCGCTGCAGAAACACTTAGCACGGAACAACTCGGTAGTGACCAAGTGACAAACCATGAACCCAGCCACGTCGGCACCTGCCTCCTCTCCCAGAGCTGTCCAGAGATCTTCGGTAGTAGCGTTTCCATAGGCGTGCTTCTTGAGGTAGTTGGAAACGCCGTTCAAGAACGTCTCCACACCGAGGTGACTACTGAGCATACGAATAGTGCTGCAGCCCTGTATTCTAATCAGCCACCTTCAACATCACCTCAACACCACCCGGTCATACCTTGAGATAACTGATATGATCGAAGATCTGATCAATCTCGAGCGCACTGCGCACCTCGACCTCGATCGGGTGGCTTCCACGCAAGCCGTCGAGCTGGAACGCTGTTTGAAGGGATTCAGTCTGAGGATGTGATCGTCAGTTGGGGAATCATGAGCGCGTGCCTCTGGATTGTCGACTCACGACAAACTGGCCCCACACGTCCCATTCTGGGTGAAATTTGTCGGTAGCCAACCTGCAAAGAATGAGTATCCGAAGCATTGGTAGGGCTGTGTGTTGGGCACATACCATCCGACCCAGGTTGCGAATCCCTCGTTCAGCCACAGCTCCGACCACCAGTCCATCGTCACCAGGTTTCCGAACCACTGGTGGGCTAGCTCGTGCGCCACGACTACGCTCTGTCAGCTCGGATGTCCGGATGCCTGATTGGTGTTTACTAACCGTAGGCAACCCTCGTCTTGTAGCGAGCATCCGAGGTCTTCTCGTCGAACAGAACAGCGGTCGTTCTGTATGTGATCAGACCCCAATTTTCCATCTTCGTCCCGGTTAGCATGGACCTCAACTTTCGAGTCGGATTGGGTCAACCTACAGCACCGTGTGACTAACAAACCGAGTGTCAGCAATGGAATATATGGCGGGGTTGGTAGGGACTTATAATTACAAATTCATGAACAGCCAACAGGTCGACCTTTGGGAGGGGATAGTCGATTTTGAAGATCTACAGTCGTTAATCCCATTCCAATGCCTACGGGCGTGAACACTACCTCCGAGAAGTAATCGACAATCTTGCAGGCGTTCTCGAGGGCGAAGCGGCCCTGCTCGGCGAGCCCCTTGGTGGTGTAAACCCTGACGGGCAGCTTCCCGCGGCCTTCATACTCCCTCTCGGTGAACGACTCGACATACTCAAACTCGCCGCACGCCCAGGCATAGAGGTACGTGCTCATCTTCGGCGCGGTGACGAACGTGACCTTCTTCAGTCCATTGCCCAGGTCCTTACTCTCCTTCTCGGGCTGGTTCGACAGAGCGGTGTAGCTCTCGGGGATTTCGATCGAGAAGTCAAACGTTGCCTTGAGGTTCGGCTCGTCGAAGCAGGGGAACGCCCTGCGCGCATCGCACGACTCGAACTGCGTCGAGTACATCCAGTCGTCCTTTCCACCGTTCTTGTACGCGCTGCGGTAGAAGCCGGCCATCTCGTGGTTCAGTGCGCCGGAGAACTTGATGGTGAAGGATGCGGTCCCCTCGTTCGGGATCTCCTCCGCCAGCGTGAGCTGTGCTATCTCCGTCTTCTTGTCATAGCTGATGTCGGTGACGGCGACGGTGGACTTGCTGCTGTCGAGGTACACGCTGCCAGAGTGCAGTGTCAGCTGCTTCGAGTTGATCGAGATCGTGCGCGTGGCTTGCTTCAGCTCGAGCGAGATCGTGACCGTTCCGTCGTAGGTGAAGCTCGAGCGGTCGAGGTTCGTGAGGTCGAGCCCGTAGTGGGTTGGCTTTACGCTGCAGACAGTCAATCTCTATGCATTTGGGCGGTATCAGATGCACATACTGCGAGGGGAGGATATCTCTGTCGGAAGCCATGGTTGATACGATGAATTGATGGTGTTTGATTGAAACACTATCGCCGTTCGCGGGGTAGTTTTATGTTCAGGCTGACGTAGGACAAAAGGTGGGGAACGCGCAGTCCGGTGGTAGCCGTTACGATCGCCCGCGCACGCTCACTGAAAACTACACTCCACACGAGAGAGGCAAGACTACAGTTTAGATCCTCATAAAGTGTTCGAAAATTCCAAGTTGTTCCAGTTGCTGTTTTGGAGCTGTTTTTGGAGCTGTATAGCGGCACGTGATCAGTCGCGTATTCGAAAGACGCGAACCCTCAACCACTCTACTCTAAAGTGCCTACACCGCTTTCCCTTATACACACAAACCACTATACAGCAGCGAGCCACCACCCCTTCACCCTCCCACCTCCACCACCACCACCACACATATACGCGCATCCCATCTAATATACGCGTGCACCACACAACATGAATTCGTCACTACCATTGATCACGCCCAGAGACGTACGCTTCCCCCTCTTCCCGCGCACAAATTCACGACCGCCAGCTAACACCCGTCCTCCACCTAGTCGCACACACTCTGGTACACGCCGTCGTCGAACCACATCTACTACCCGCCACCGCCCGCCTACACGCAGTACTCCGGCGGGACCTCCGGCTCACCTCACAACAACGCCTCACAGTCCGGCGGGTCCGGCCAGAACCAGCGGGGCGCACCACGGAGCACGCGGCTCTCGGTCCTGGA